TATATACTAAAATGTATAAGACATTATATATACGATAAAATACTATTGTTTTTCTTTACAAATCATGTTTTTTATATTTAAATATATGATTATGTCCTTAGTGGAATGGACTGGCTGAGTTTATGCGCGCATCTCACCGAAGCCCCTAAATATAGGCAACAAATTATAGACGAGATCTTTATATATTAAACTGTCCACAAGACTAGAGGTATGTTATAAAAAGAGTAGGCAATCGCTAGGTTAAGCTGACGACATTAGGTTATAGCTTTAAGTAAATAATGTATAAAAAATATGGATTATTATTGTGTTTCAAAATTATTAATAAAGAATACTATATGATTATGTATATTTCTAATTAAGAAATTGGTTAAGAAATTTCCCCATTGAATAATTCATAAACTCTCAAAATCCTTCGAGATCGTGTTTTCTTAGCTTAACGCACTGCTGTTCACTGTAATTTGAGACTACGAATGGCCACCTGAAGTAATTTAATTTTACATCTCAAGTAATAATATGGGCAGCTGCGATCGCCGATGGTCACTCTCCAATCGTTTTCATCCAGCCTGGTGTCACAGTCAAAGATAAGTGCAACTTATTATTGGAAAAATGCAAAATGTTTTGAAAGTTGTTTTAGAACCGTGAAGGCGCAAACAATTCGTTTGTAGAGCATGGACGTTCCAACAGTATTGGTCACCGTCTCATAAAGTTCGTGTGAATTAATAATCATTAAAAAATCATGTTTCACCATTCATTTCCACAAATGCAAATCCAATGAACTATTTCAACTGGACCATTTTGGAGAACGAGATGAGGTTAGGTTAGGTTAGGTTGGAGTGGCGGACTTATATACCAAAAAACCCATTTCAGTTCAAATGATGGCCCATTGTGGTACCACAGGAATGTCGTTGGTATGTAGATTTAGATCAGTATACATTCAACTCCAAAAGAAGGTAACGACTCCCCCATTAGGTAAAGGAAAACCAACCTAACAGTTCTAAAAAGTTGGCTAGGTCTCTAACATTACAGGATGACAGCTTAGTCAGTTCGGTGAGAAAAGGGGATCTGAAGATTTTTAAAGTTTGAAGGCTATAGTCAAGGCAAAAGACGACTACATCAAGCTAGCGTAAATGAATTCTGAAATTTTTATTAATTCTACAAATTTTTGTAATTTGAATCAATAAAAAATAATTTCACACAATTCAGTCGCATAACTCTGTATTCGACAATATTGACAAATGACGAATACTTTTTGCCCAGTTCAATAATTAAAATATTCGATAAAGTTTCTGATTTTTTATTTTCCATGTAGAAACAACATTCTAAATTTAATAAATAAAATATTAATAATACAAATAAACAACAAAAAAAAAATATATATATATAAAATCAAATTATATTGAACTGAACTGAACTTAACAAAATTATGGACTGTTTTGCACTTTAGCAATTCTCGGCGGAGATTTTCGTAAACTTCACACAATGAAATCAACTTGAATTTCATATATAATTTTTTTTATTATTTTTTTACGATTCCATATCGCAAGGGAAAACTAAATATTTCGCCGGTACTGCTTGAGGTAATAGAGTGGAGAGGGTTGCTAACTTATTTAGTTGGTACTTGATTGCTGATGGTAGAGGCATTGCTACAATTCAATGGCTAAGAGGAAGCATTAGTCGAACTTGTTCGATTACTTGTAAAATTATGGTACCAGCAATCCGTGTTGTTGTTGTTGTCGTTGTTGTTGTTGTTGTTAGTAAAATTGCACACTTAAAGAATAATTTGGTGGAGTGTTAGTATTAACTTCAACGCCGAGTGCATTTGTTACTTTGCCAGTTTCAATGAACAATCAATTGCAGACAAAGCAAAGGTCACACATTTTTGGTGATGCTGCTAAGATTGCTAAGATTGCCAACATTGTTAACACCACCACCACCACCGCCGCCACCAATACCATCGCCATCACCACCACCACCATCACCACCACCACTGACGGTCTCAATAAAATACTGACAACAGAGCATATTATGAGTATTTTTCGAAATCTATATTTATAGCTATTAATATGTATTTTGCTTGCATCCCTTCCCTGCTGTCACATCCTCTTCATCAGCACTAATGCTGTTTTGTAAAATTCTAATTGTGCGCTCTTGTTTTGCTGGCAACTGTTGTGCTTGCGATGCTTGCCGTGCTTGCCATGCCTGTCTGCTATACTGCTATATTGCTACACATTCGAGCATAAGTGGCAACACCCTAATAACTTTGCCGGCAGGGCTGTTAACAATGATCGTCGTTTTCATCTTTCATCTTTCATCTTTTCGTTGTTTTAGTATCGCTAGTAGTTGTTGCTTTCTATTGGTGTGAGGTGTTTGATATTTGCCATAGGTTATACTTGAGTGTTTTCATTGTTCCCTCATTGACTATTCACACTTCTGTTTTCACTATTATTGCTTTATTTCTTTTTCTCTCTGGTGGTACAGAATTATCACATTATTTTATTTTATTTTTTTTTTATTTTGTTGTTTCTGTTTTCTTTTTTTTTTGCAGTGTAGTCACCATTCCTACTATATTGTTTAGTCGCACCCAGTGCCAAGTATTTATTGTGTGGAATATGCGTTTCGTAGACTGCGGTACGCCGCATCTTTTGCTCGTAGCGCATTTGCTGCATTGTGGTTTGATTTGCATCTGTTCGAAGTTTCAGCGATTGACTGGTGGAACGAATAGGTGGGGGTTGGTCTCTATGGGCATACAATCATTATAAGATGTATGTAGGCTTGTTTATAGAACGGCTGCTTTGCAATCAAACAATTGAGAAATTTGATCATTTCTGAATGATTTAGCATTTGATGTTGATTACATTCCTTGTAAATTGCGAATAAAGCTGTTAAATTCCTTTCCCTATTGTTGTAGTTTGATTGCGTAGTTGGTGCTTTTAGTGGAGTTGTAAGTACGAAGTAGTTTGCTTGTCGAGAGCATATGGCAGAAGTTTGAAGTTCAGAGATTTAAGTATTTTTAACACTTGTTTGTTTATTTGATTGTATGGGAATATTTTAGATAAAATGATTTTGAGGTCTTTAAATCCTTATTTAAAGATACGGATTCAAAACAACATTATAACTTTCAATCTTTATTATAGTTGAAAAGATTCAAACATTCTTAGTATTAAAAATTTTGAAACAGGTGTTTTAGAGCCTAAGGCAATTTTATCATAAACACCTACTATATTATTATAGAGGGTTAGTACCTATTCAAGCGAAAAACTTGAAACGCTTGTGTGAAACTTTTTTCTATTGATTCAAATCACAAAAAATTGTGGAACTACTGAATATTTTAGAGTCCATAGACTATAGCGCGTTGTGGATGAAGGTTATCTTCGGCCTGGACTATTGTCTTCAAACGGTTAAAAAATAAGTTGCATGCTTCACCTAGGTAAAGTTAGGTAAGGTTAAGAAGGCGCATGCTGACAGTTCTCAGCACTTACACTCAGAAACATATACTGCCCATTGTGAGGTCTTTAAAGATTTTGCCAGGAGAGGTACCAACTCACCTTGTTATCTTTGTGTACTATTCTTGTTAAATAATTTTGTTTTTCAGATAAAGTTAAGAAGATCTGATAAGTTTGTTTTCGTTACTTTTGTCAGAGCAGTAAAAAAGCGAGAGATATACCTTAACGTCTAATTGATTATTTATTAATTGCCGATAAAGTAATTTAAGCAGAAGTATTAATAGTCAATTATTTATAAATGTGGTGAAGTCAACAACGATGTCAAAAATACCTTTGAGATATAAACTTGAAAATTGTAAAGTATTATTAAGTATTATCTCTAAGATATATTTTCTTCAACTTTTTTAAAAAATTGAACTTACTAAAACCACTTTTTGTCATTAAAGTAATAAAAATGTCTATTGAATAAAAAATATTTGATTCACTTTTTTCCATTTGAGATTCTGCATCTATTAAAAAACTCTTTTTATGCGAATAAAGTTGAACACTGACTACTTGCGTGAATGGAGTGAATGTGCTTACTTTAATATTGATATCAATTCAATTTTTTGAGCAATTTTTACTTTAATAAATGATGCTAAGAAGTTCTATTTGAATGCGTACTTGAATGTCGAAATTTTTGAAGGCTTACTTATCTAATATGAACGTATGCTGCGTACATTTACATTGCAAATATATATTTAATTACTTAAAATGGTTACAGGCTCCTCGGGGAGGTATGCAGATCTGAGGTCAATTATTGCTTAGTCTGATGAAGTAATAAACAACAATTCAGTCAAGGCGTAAAGAGGGGTTTTGAAGATACCTCGAGTTAAAAAAGAGTATAAGTGCTTAAGTGCACTAGCGCAAAACAGCTTCAACATAATAAATATATAATTATTATAAATAAATTTAATTTATGATAACATGACGTGAGACTATCGCCAGCAAGTCAAGCCAAATATTGGCAAAAAATATAGGCGAATGACATTTAGACATTTTAAAACGTTTTACGCTTGGAGAAAAACCTGCTGAAATTGAGAGAATTCTGGGCTTAGTTGCAACTACTGTAAGA